GCAGGCACAGCAAAGAGGTGCCCGACACCTCGGCTCCTCCCCGACTCCCCTCCAGCTCACCTTGGCCGAACGAGGCGATGCTCTTCTTCAGCGTGTCCAGGTCGCACGTGAACCGCGCCACCCTGCCCAGGTCCTCGTCGTACTTCCGTTCGCTCACAAAGTGCTTCACAGAAAAGGCAAAACGCGCACGTTAATTCAGTCTGCGCACGGGAACAGAAAATGGAGGTGAAAGCCCCCCGTTTTTGGCCCAGGAAAAGGTATCCGCGTTGGGTGCTGCTTGAAAAAACTCTTGGTGAGAAGGCAGACGGCCACGACGACTTATGGAAACAGAAAACCAGATTTTTTTTTGTTTCAGCGCAATTTCTACCCGTACAGAAACAGCCTTCCCCAGGCTCCAGCAGCCGAGCCGTAGGTTAACTCAATCCGACAGCAGCTCCGCTCTGCCCGTCTCTGGTCTGCGAAATCGGCACAGCCCAGGTCTCTGGACGCTCATGGGGGCAACAGGTTTCGCAGCTGCACCGATCCTGCTACGGGGGTGAGCAGGTTAGTTTTCAAACTGGAGTTTAATTGATGCAACTTCGCACTGACCTCTTGTGGCAGGAGCCGGCGTGCTGGAGAGCTGGAGTGTTTTACGGAATATAAAAGCCACTCACGCGCAGCAGGCAGGCTCTCCCGACTTAGGGGGGGAGGCAGAGGTCAGCCTGCGCCAGCGGGAGGTTTTCACAACCGCTCCGAGCACAAAGCTGCGGCCTTGCCACGTTCCCTGCTCTCTGCCAGTTCACAATGGCTGAACGTTGGGCTGCACGCACCGGGGCTAACGTCTGGACGATCGGATGTTGGCTGAAGTCAGTATTTTACAAACCAAACTATTTTAAATTAGGATTCAGGATGAGGTGTCCCACGTCCCGCTGCGCGGCTGCGGACGGCAGTGTGCAGAGCACTGGCGGTGAATTCGAGAACTACGGACGCAAGGAAAGACTTGCACACAACACAAAACTGCATCCAGAAGAGCTGGGAACCCAGAAGCTTACAAAAAAGCGTACCACTGTTGAGAACTGTTAGGATCAATAGCCTTGCTTAGCCCTAGAAGCTAAAGCAGTTGAAGCCTCAGGCCGCAAGAGCTGTCCGAGAGTGAACTTTCTGATAAAACTAACGCTGCAAACACAGAACTCGCCGAATCCGGCAGATAGGAGCGGAATGGAGAGGATAAGGACCAAGGAAACAATTCCAAGAGCATGAGGTAACTTCAGAAGGTGGCCAGCCCAGTGACCAAGGTAAACCCAGTAGGAAACCAAGAGACGACCGACCAGAATTAAGGGGTTGGACTTGGGGGATCGGGCGCTGGGTGGTACGGGTATAATTGGGGTGCACGATCCGGGGTAGGGGTCCCTCCTCGGAGGCACCCAGCTCGAACTGCTCTGCCTGTCGGATAAATAAACCGCGTATTTACTCAGCAGACTGGCGACTCATCTTCTTCGAGCAGGAACCTAGGGCCAGGCCCTGTTGAGGTGGCACCCGCATAATTCCTACCACGGACTAGCTGGCGGCTGCGTCATTTCTGCAACACCACATTTCGGCGGGATTAGCGCTCGGTTGGATTAGGCAGAAGCGGAGTGAAAAGCTCACCTTTATGTCGGCTCTGAGCTCGACCAGCTGCTCCTCCGACATTCGCACTGCCACATCAGTCATCTTCTTCAGGGCTTCTGCCTTCTTCTGACGGCTGACCAGAATTTCCACTGCAAAACAGACCACAGCTTAGGCAGCGTCGGCAGCGGAGCAGCCTACCCAGCGCTAAACAACCCCAGCCCCGGCACACGGCACCTTATTGGTAAACAACAGGTTCCCCCGAGTCCCCCCCGGGCAGCTCCGTGCCAGCTGCACAGCAGCCCCGGCCGCTCCCTCCTGCGGCGATTGACATCTCCAGACACAGACTGAACCTGAGCCGTAAGCCGACTCGAGGAGGGGCACGACACGCAGCTTCGGGGGAAGCTTTGCCGCTCTCCCCAGGCTAACCGCTTCCTTGCCGCCCCCTGAACCGTGGGGCTCGGTGCCACTGGTGCAGGCGTCCCTGCGGATCACGTCCCACCCGCACCAGGTGAGCGGAGAAAGCCCTT